TATAGAGATATATATATAGATATAAGAGATAGATTATATTATAGAGGGATATGTGATAGTAATATATATATATATATGTATATATATATATATATTAATATATATAAACATACATACACACACATGCACACACACACACACACATACATATATATATATATATATATATATATATATATATATATATATATATATATATATATATATATATATATATATATATTAATATATATATATATATATATATATATATATATATATATATATATATACATATATATATATATATATATATATATATATATATATGTATACATATATGTATATCTACATATATATGAATATATATATATATATATAAATATATATATATATATATATATATATATATATATATATATATATATATATATATATATATATATATATATGTATGTATGTGTATATATATATGTATATATATATATATATATATATATATATATATATATATATATATATATACATATATAAATATGTATATATAAACACATACGTATATATATATATATATATATATATATATATATATATATATATATATATATATATATACATATAAATATGTATATATATACACATACGTATATATATATATATATATATATATATATATATATATATATATATATATATATATATATATATATATGTATATATATAAATATGTATATATATATATATATATATATATATATATATATATATATATATATATAAATATGTATATATATATATACATATATATATATATATATATATATATATATATATATATATATATATATATATATATATATATGTATATATATATATATAATATATAATATATATATACATACACACACACACACACACACACACACACACATATATATATATATACATATATATATATATATATATATATATATATATATATATATATATATATACATGTATATATATATATATGTATATATATATATGTGTGTGTGTGTGTGTGAGCGTTTGTTTGTGTGTATGTATAGATACATAGATAGATATGTATATATGTATACATATATGTAAATATATACATATATAGAAATATAGATCTACATAGATATAGATATAGCCATGAAAGTGTGTCGGTTTTCTTTCGCTTAATCAATAAAAGAAAACATTCCATGCATTATTTACATGGAATACATGAATTTCCTTCTCATTATAAGAAGTAGAAGCCTTTTTCCCACATCAACTGCTATATTGAGGAGGCGGAGGAGCCGCTTTCTCGAAGGCCACGACCAGTAGTGGTCTGTTCAGTAATACGTGAGTTTACCAGAACAAAACAATCATGGAGAATTAAATACAAGGCATAACGCATAAAAGTTTATTATTCTCGAAAGAACTCTGTCAAAAATGTCATCCATAGCATAATTCAGAAGCAGATTTTATAAAACATGGATGATTATTTCCCAATAGTATCAAGAAGTTTGTTCCTTTTATATGAAATATAATGTTATTTGATCCATTCACGTGTTTCCCAAGAAATGTCTTCTTTGGGTTAATGTGTGTTACACTAGGAGATCATGCGGCTTCTCCTTTGTGTGTACTCTCTAGATATTATAGATTTTACAACTGTAGCATATCACACAGCAGTATGGCTCCTCCTTTGTATGTAATATCATATAGTTCACTGGGCTATTTTCAAGTGAGGCTTTATTGCAAATATTACAGCAGTTAGGTTACTCCCTGTATTGTAATATCCCGTACTCATGTATGTCTAACTAGATAATTTCTTCGTGAAAAGCCTTGTTGCAAATTTCATACCTTAATGACTTTTCCTTTGTATGTACTCTCATGTGCTTTACTAGAGTATCTTTCTGAGAGAAAGCCTTGCTGCAAATCTCACAGCTGAAAGGCTTCTCCTTTGTATGTACTCTCATGTGCTTTACTAGAGTACTTTTTTCAGAGAAGATCTTGCTGCAAATCTCACAGCTGAATGACTTCTCCTTTGTATGTACTCTCATGTGTTCTACTAGATGACTTTTCTCAGAGAAGGCCTTGCTGCAAATCTCACAGCTTAACGGCTTCTCCTTTGTATGTACTCTCATGTGCTTTCCTAGATTACCTTTCTGAGAGAAGGCCTTGTTACAAATCCCACAGCTGAATGGCTTCTCCTTTGTATGTACTCGCATATGCTTAACTAGGGTATCTTTCACAGAGAAGGCCTTGTTACAAATCTCACAGCTGAACGGCTTCTCCTTTTTATGTACTTTCATGTGGTTTGATACAATACCTTTCAGAGAGAAGGCCTTGCTACAAATCTCACAGCTGGATGGTTTCTCCTTTGTCTGAACTCTCATATTAATGCTATATCTCTTTTGAGAGAATTTCTTGCCATATACTTCACATGCAAAACATTTCAATGTAGCTTCCACTTTTGGCTGTGTATCCTCCTTAAGACTTTCAATATGCAT